CTTAAATGGAGAGTAGCTAAAGATAATGGAAGAAATGATGAAATGAAAGAGCTGAACTGAAGATTCCAAAGGATAGCTTGAGAAGACAAAGTAATGTATTGTAATGAAATACACAAAGACCTGGAGTTAGAAAACAAAAAGGGAAGAACACACTTGGCACTTCTCAAGCTGAAGGAACTGAAGGAAAAAGTCAAGCCTCAAGTTGCAATATTGAAGGATTCTATGCACAAAATATTGAATGATGTAGGAAGCATCAATAAAAGATGGAAGGAATACACAGAGCACTGCACCAAAAAAAAAAAAAAAATGGTTGATGTCCCACCATTTCCAGAGGTACAAATGGACGAGAACCAATGGTACTGAAGAAAGAAGTCCAAGCTACGCTAAAGGAATTGGCAAAAAAAAAAAAAAAAAAACAAGGCTCCAGGAAATGACAGAATAGCCATTGAGATGTTTCAACAAATGGATACAGGACTGGAGGCACTTTCTCATTTATGCCAAGAAATCTGGAATACAGCTACTTGGCCAATGACTGGAAGAGATCCATATTTGTGTCCATTCCAAAGAAAGGTGATCTTTGTGCTCACTTCAGTAGTACATATACCAAAGAAAAGTGATCCAACAGAAAGCAGAAATTATCTAACAATATCATTAATATCACATACAAGTAAAATTTTACTGATAACTCAAAAATGGTTGCAGCAGTGTATTGACAGAGAACTTCCAGAAATTCAAGCTAGATTCAGAAGAGAATATGGAACAAGGGATATCGTTGTTGATGTCAGATGGATCTTGGCTGAAAGCAAAGAATACCAGAAAGATGTTTATCTGTGTTTCATTTGACTACGCAAAGGCATTTGTCTGTGTGGATCATAACAAATTATGGATAACACTGTAATCCATAACCACTGTTATCAAGAATGGGAATTCCAGAACACTTAATTGTATTCATGAGGAACCTGTACATAGACCAAGAGGCTATTGTTTGAACAGAACAAGGGGATACTGCATGGTTTAAAATCAGGAAGCATGTGAGTCAGGGTTGTATCTTTTCACTGTATGGTGAAGTTCAATTTATATGCTGAAAAAATAATCTGAGAAGCTAGAGTATCTGAAGAAGAATGAGGCATCAGGATTGGAGGAAGACTCATCAACAACCTGGTATGTGCAGAAGACACAATCTTGCTTGTTGAAAGTGAAGATGATTTAAGTACTTACTGATGAAGATTAAAGACTACAGTCTTCAGTATGGATTATAACTCAACATAAAGAAAACAAAAATCCTCACAACTGGACCAATAAGCAACATCACCATAAATGGAGAAAATACTGAAGTTGCCAGGGATTTCATTTCACTTGGATCCACAATCAACACTCATGGAAGCAGCAATCATGAAATCAGACGTATATTAACTGGGCAAATCTGCTGCAAAAGACCTCTTTAAAGTGTTAAGGAACATAGACTAAGGTGTGCCTGACACAAGCCATGGTATTTTCAATATGCTGATATGTATTTGAAAGCTGGACAATGGACAAGGAAGAACGAAGAAGAACTGATGCCTTTGTTTTGTGGTTTTGGCTAAGAATACTGAAAATACCATGGCCTGCCAGAAGAAGGAACAAATCTGTCTTGGAAGAAGTACAGCCAGAATGCTCCTTACAAGTGAGAGTGGCCAGACTTCGTCTCACCTACTTTAGTCATGTTATCAGAAGGGATCATTCCCTGGAGAAGGTATCATGCTTGGTAAAGTGGAGGGTCAGCAAAAAAGGGGGAGAACCTCAAGGAGATGGGTTGGTAGAGTGGCTGTGGCCATGGGCTCGAGCATAGCAAGGATTGTGAGGATGGCACAGGACTGGGCAGTGTTTTGTTGTGTTGTGTACAGGGTGGCTATGAATTGGAGCTGAATTGAAAAGTACCTAACAACAGTCCTTGAAACAAAGGTTGGGCAATCTACTTCTGTTGTGATACCGCCTTGTTTTGTTGTGTTGTACACAGGGTTGCTATGAATTGAAGCTGAACTGAAAAGTACCTAACAACACTCCTCGGAACAAAGGTTGGGCAATCTACTTCTGTAGTGATACCGCCTTGGAAACCCAAGGAGGGGTCGCTATGAGTCCGGTCTGACGTGACAGCACTTAACAACAATAACAAGAATGCCTGCCTCTGGGCATATGATACAGCATACACAATTAGATTCTAATCAAAAAGTTAACTTCTCTTTGAAACAGTTTTATCAGCAGAAAATAGAAATACTAAAGTTGTTGGAATAGAAGATTCAATGCTTAGGCTAGAAAGCTTTTCAATAATAACACATGCCAAAAAAGCACATATCATTTGACTGGAACTAATGCATCTGTCCCAATCCATGAGACTGTCTTTTATCTTCATCTCTCAACCTCAAAACAGAATAGGTACTAATAGTGGCATCATCTCCATTGTAATTTTCATTTCAGCATGTGTCAGGGCGCAGTTCTTTACAAAAATAAATCTTGTTCAGGAACAGATCTGTTCACACATTATACACCCTCAAGCCCTAATGTGATCTTCCATTTTATTGAATTTAAATGGCATATAATCACGGGTATAATAAATTCTTTGTAGTTTTCACTTTTCTAATTTTTCAGAACACTGATTTAAAAAAAAAAAAAACACTTCCCTGTGCTTTAGGTGAAAGTTTACATAGCAAATGAGTTTTTCTAATCAATAATTCATACATAAATTGTTTCATGACATTTGATGCAATCTCTGCAATGTGTTACCATTCTCCACTTTTCCTCCCTGGGTTCCCTGTTTTCATTTGTCCAATTTCCCTGTGGCTTCCTGCCTTCTCATCTTTGGTTTTGGGCAAATGCTATCCTTTGGGTCTTGCACAGTTGATTGTTCTGAGGAGCACATTCTTCCCAGGTAGTGTTTTTTAATAGGTCTATCAATTGGCTGAAAGATGGCCTCTGTGAGTATCTTCAGTTTCAAAATAGAAATTTATCTTAGGGTGACAGTCTCAGGAATTCTCTAGTCTATTTCAGACCAGTAAGACTACCCCTTTAAAAAAAATTAATTTGAATTTTGTTCTACATTTTTTACCCATTCTAACCAGGACCTTCTATTTGATCCTGGTCAGAGTGTTCGGTAGTGGTAGGGAATCATCAAGTTCTTCTGGTCTCAGGTTAGAGCTGGCTGTGGTTCATGTGGGTCATTAGTCCTTTGGCACATTGACTATTTCATCCAATGAAATTTCATACATAACAAATGCCGTATCAATTAATCAACAGTATCTTGTTCCAGGAGGGTATTAAAAAAGATTTCTTGTTGAATCTAATAGGAAAGTGCTTGTTGAGAACCAATCATACTAAAAGCCAATAGAATTCTCAAACAACATTTGATTTCATGGATTGCTGTAATATGTTCTTTAACTTGAAAATATTCACAAAGAATATTTTCGTCAACAAGAAGCAAACAGTCACAGGAATTCACTACGTGACATTAAAATATTCAACATAATAAAGCACCAAATTTTAAAAATGAGACATAGAAAACATATTAAATCATAAGAATATTCATGGTTTGTGATTTTTTGAGTGAAAATGAAAAAATCAAATGTCTTAAAGAAAATCAGAATTTATCAACAACAGTTGATTTTAAATATTAATATTATAAAAGTCCAAAAACCCAAACCAAACTCACTGCCATTGAGTTGATTCCAACTCACAGTGACCCCCATTAGGTTTCTAAGGCTGTAAATCATTATAGAAGTAGATTGCCTCATCTTTCTCCCACAGAACAGCTAGTGGGTTTGAACTGCTGACCTTTTGGTTAGAAACCAAATGTCTTACCCACTATGCTACCAGATCTGCTTATAAAAGCCAAAGTTAGCTATAAAACAGACTGACAAAAATACATCTGTACTAAACATAGCTCCTGAAAATAAAGATATCTGAAAAGATCAGCCAATATAGTTGTTGTTGTCATGTGCTGTGGAGTTGGACCCAACTCATAGCAATCCCTCCTTGGGTTTCTGAGGCAGTATCACTATGAAAGTAGATTGCCCCATCTTCCTTCTGAGGAGTGGCTGGTGGGTTTGAACCGCCAGTCTTCTGGTTAACAGTCAAGTGCCTTAGGCACTATGCTACCAGACAATGTAGTATTAGATAAAAATAGCAATGCACTCAAAAACTATTGAAATGACATAAAGTTAGTGCTTCCATTTCATCAAGCTAAACACTGTCACAGAATGATACTTAAAAAAAGAAACAACAACAACAGGGTAAAGTCAACATCACAAAGTGATTAAAAGGATGGAAGGGGACTTTTCTTCTAAGTCACTGAACTCACCAGTAAGTTGAACTCCAGAGCACTCATCATTTTCCTGTGCCATTAGAGAACTGAAGTAGGTTCACTGAATTGACTGATTTCTTTGTTAACCTATACTTGGGTTAAGACACTGACTGACATAAAGCAAAACTAAAAAATGCCAGAGAGAGAATGTAATGAAAGACTGAGTGATGTATGGTTTGGGGTACAGCCTATCCAATAAATATGTTTGGCCAGCAAAGAATCCATTGGCAAAGATTTATTATCAGAACAAATACATTCTAAAAAGATCTAATACAATAAAATCTGCAGTATAAATACAAGCTGTTCTAAAACACAGTTCTTTCCCGGCATAGTATATCATGTGTTTCTATAATTATATTAAAATTATTTTAATATTTTTTGTTCAAGAATAAATTTCTTAAAAAACTAAAAGCAAGCATAGTATGTTACTCTACTAATAATGGAGTTCTTGGATTCATACAAAAGAAAACACAGTTTATATTACTTAGAGCTTTACAAAAATTTTTAAAACAAAGGAAGAAAATATTCTAAGAAATATAGTATCAAGAGAAAAGGTAATCAATCACCTATTAGAATAACAAGTTACATTATATTGTAATTATACGTAACATACTAACATCCAATTAGTAAATGTGAAGACTAGACAGAAATATGTTTAAAGTTATACCTCCAAGTTCTTTTACATTCAAGATGGCATTCTGGAATGGCACTGCTTTTATACTAAAACCTAAAATTAGAAAACAAAAACAAAATAAGAATTAGCAACTGAACTTTTAAGATTTACTTTGCACAGCTCATATTTATACTCAAAATACATTATTTCCAAGATAAACTGATAACACAACATTATGTTCTGCTATTTTTTAAAACATAGTTGTGCAAACAAAATACATAAAAATCTCGTTCCACAACCTACTTTGATGAGTAGTGACTGGGGTCTTAAAAGCTTTTGAGTGGCCATCTAAGATGTAGCTAATGGTCTCCTCTCATCTGAAGCGAAAAAAAGTGAAGAAAACCAAGGACATTTGGAAAGAGTCAGCCCTGGGATACAATGAACCTCGAGACTAGAAGAAGTAGATGGTGCCCAGCTACCAATGCCAACCACTCGGGAAGGGATCAAAACTGGAAACCCTGGATAGAGTGGGAGGAAAAATGTGGAACAAAATTCAAAAACACAATAATGACCAGAATTACTGGTCAGATGCAGTCTGGTCAGACCCCCAAGACAATGGTTCTGGGATACACTTTGTGCCTGGGATAAAACTCATTCCCAAGGGCTGTCTCTCAGCCCAATTTTAAATAAGACTTACATGAAGAACACTCAACCCAGGATGATGCACCCAACTACGCTACAGAGATATATCCCTTGGAGTAGTCGGGTATGGGGCACCAGAGGGAAAACATTCACAGGGAGGAAAAGCTGGACAGAGGAGTGCATAACTAAGACGGGCCCAGGGGAGGAGGGGTCACTGGGAAGGAAGAGGAGGACAGTGGTTTAGGCTTGGGGAAGGTAATTAGGGAGTGGAACAAAATGTACAAAAATGTGTACAAATTCTGCTCTATAAATTTGCACCTAAAGCACAATAAAACAACAATAGCAACAAAAAAGTTGTGTATTATAGTGAAATACAATACTATCACTTTTTTCTTAAAAAAAAATGCCTATTTTTAATTTAATATCCAATGTTACTATGCAAATTTTATCAGGAAGAAAAACATTTGGAACTGTATAGAAATTTCAAATAAAATATTAAATCTACTGAGCTTTTGTATTCAACTAATTCCTAAAGTTAATTCCTTACAATATTCTCTCATATACAATTCAGCAACCTTTAAGATTACTTAAATTCTAAGAATATATATAATTCTCATATTAGAATTATGTACTATTACTTTAACATTTTCTTGTAATTATACAGTTAATGTCACACATACATTTTTCTTGAAAGTACAATCATAATAGAATCCATCCATGCATAGGTACTCATAATATTATGCATTCAAGAAAAGATTTATACAGGCATACTTCATTTTATTGTGCTGTGTAGATTGTGTTTTTTAACAATTGAGAGTTTGTGGCAATCCTGAGCTAAGTATGTCTATTGCCACCCTTTTCCAACAGCATATGCTCACTTCATATCTCTCTGTGTCATATTTTGGTAATTCTTACAATATTTCAAATTTTTCATAATGCTATTGCATTATAGACTCAGGATAGTGTAAACATAACTTTTATATGCACTGAGAAGCCAAAGTATTCATGTGACTCACTTTATTGTGGTAGTCTGCAACTGAATCTGCAGTATCCCTGAGGTATTCATGTTATTATTAAAGATCTATCCAGAGTATACTTTTTCTATAGGTGACTATTTATTTGGATTTAACTATTAGAGTTCAAGTCAATCAATCTAGATGCAACTGAATTTTGCATGATGTGAGTGTGCATATACCTGTATACAGGCACACATGTGCAAACAAAGATATATATTGAATATTGCTGAAAAGATCAATAAGATATTGGAACTATAACGACTCTGGGGAGAAATAGGGACCTAGAATCTTAAATAGAAAGGAGATAATCGATTTCATTTGAATATTTTGCCATGCACATGTATTTCTTTTTCAATTAAAAGCCTCACTAATTTTTAAACCCAGGGTGATGCACCCACATACTCTATAGTAATACATCCCTTAGAGCAATAGACCATGAGGCACCAGAGGACCAACATTCAAACTGAGGAAATGCAGGACAAACAGGATTACATAAATATGAGGGGCACAGGGGGAGGGTTATTGGGTAGGGAGGGGAGGAGACTGGGTTAGGGTTGGACACGATAAATGGGGAGTGAAAGTAAATGTACATGTAACATTGAATGTAAAACAAGCTCCTACAATAAAAAATCATTTTTTAAAAAAAGCCTCACTAATTTTTAAAAGTTAATTTATCAGTAATTTCTGAGTACCCATTCAATTCACGGTTTTAAGCACTATTTAATAGGTAAAATTAAAAGATGAATAAAACACAATCACCTTTACATGAAATAATCAAAAGCGTAAAAGAGAAGAAACAAAAATACTTTTTATTTGAAGCCAATTATGATAAATGCTTGGTGTTGTTGTTGTTGTTGTCAGGTGCTGTTGAGTAGGCTCTAACTCATAGTGACCCTGTGTATAACAGAGCAAAACACTGTTTTTTTGCTGTGCCATGCTCATAATGGCTTCTATGCTTGACCCCACTGTTGCAGGCACTGTGTGAATAAGCCCTTAGAAAGGTAAAAACATATAAAGTGTGATGTCAAGAGACCTCAGATAAGCAAAGCACTATTGAAGAAAAACAAAAGTAGGAGGCCTCATACTGCTAGATCTCAAAACCTACTATATAGCCACAGTAGTTAAAACTGCCTGGTATTTGCATAATGATAGACACATAGACCAATGGAATAGAATTGAGAACCCAGAAACAGATCCATTGACTTATGGTCAGCTGATCTTTGACAAAGGGCCAAAATCCATTAAATGGGGAAGAGAATGTCTGTTTAATAAATTGGGCTAGGAAAATTGGATACACATTTGCAGAAAAATGAAACAAAATCTGTACCTCACACCATACACAAAAACTAACTCCAGATGGATCAAAGACTTAAATGTGAATCCTAAAACTATAAAGTTCCTCAAGGAAAAACTAGGTGAAAATTTAGGGGCCCTAACATATGGCATATGTTGTTGTTGTTGTTTGCCGTCGAGTCGGCCCCGACTCATAGCGACCCCTCCTTGGGTTTCCGAGGCAGTATCACTACGGAAGTAGGATTGCCCAACCTTCCTTCCGAGGAGTGGCTGGTGGGTTTGAACCGCCTGCCTTCTGGTTAGCAGTCAAGTGCCTTAGCCACTATGCTACCAGAGCTCCCACCCTCCTCGGAAGGAAGGTTGGGCAATCCTACTTCCGTAGTGATACTGCCTCGGAAACCCAAGGAGGGGTCGCTATGAGTCGGGGCCGACTCCACGGCAAATAACTACTACTACTACTACTAACATATGGCATAATATATGGAATACCAAGCATAACCCAAAATGCACAAACAGCAGAACAGAAACTAGATGATTGGGGACTTCTAAAAATTAAATTTTTATGTGCTTTCAAAGAATTCTCCAAAAGAATCAAAAGAGGACCCACAGATTGGGGAAAAATATTCGGCAATGACATATCTGACAAGGGAGTTATCTCTAGATTTTATAGAAAGCTCCAACACCTCAACAACAAAAAGACAAATAACCCAATTAAAAAATGGGCAGAAGCCATGAATAGACAATTCACCGAGGAGGATATTCAGGCAGCCAACAAAGTGAAGAAATGCTCATGATCATTAGCCACTAGAGAGATGCAAATCAAAACAACAATGAGATACCATCTTGCCCCAAAATTAGTAGCAAAGGTCAACAAGACAGAAAATAACAAATGCTGGTGAGGGTGTGGAGAGATTGGGACTCTCATCCACTGCTGGTGGGACTGTAAAAGGGTACAACCACTGTGGAAAGCTGTATGGTGATTCCTTAAAAAGTTGGAATTAGAAATACCATTTGACTCAGCCATTCCATTACTAGGTATATATCCTAAAGAAGTGAGAGCCAGGACAAGACCAGATATATGCACACCCATGTTCATCACAGCACTATTTACAACAGCAAAAAGATGGAAACAACCTAAGTGTCCATCAACTGAAGAATGGAAAACCAAACTATGGTACATACACACCATGGAACACCATGCAACCCTAAAGAATAACATAAAATCTGCAAAATATTTATAACATGGATGAATTTGGAGGATATTATGCTGAGTGAAATAAGTCAATCACAGAAGGGCAAATATTTTATTAATCCATTATTGTAAAAAGTTAAGGAAAGGTTTATATATGGACGGGAATTTTCTTTGTTGGTTACCAGGAGTGGGAGGGGAGGGAAGGGAACACTGTTAGATAGGTAGAGAAAAGAATTGATTTGGGTGAAGAGAACGGCAATGTACCAAATGTGAGTGATCAACATGATGGCACTGAGGAAGAGGAAGACAGAGAGGTACACAGGAGGTACAGACAATAATGATGAACCCTTTTCCACATAAAATACTGTGCTGTCAGTGAAGGCAAACATGGATATATGGGTGGATAGATGGGTGGACAGGCTGAACTATTAGGCATGTCTATGCAGGGGATATTGTATCCAAGACCACGTATAGGGTTGGCAGACAATGTTGCTACAAGGGTATTGCTATGTTCTGTAAGAATTCCCAGGTGTAGAGTAGAGCTAAGAAGGGACAAGGTTGTAGTCACTTCTTGGCCACAGCCAGCTACCCAGATGGAGCAAGTAGTTGGACCTATGGGCTCGGGACCATAGTCGCAGGGGACATCAGGCCCAATTGGCATAACATACTACACATAACATTGTTCCACATCCCACTTTGGTCAGTAGCAACTGGGATCTTAAAAGCTTGCAAGCAACCATCTAGATGCAATGATGGGTCTCTCCTCATCCAGGGCAAAGAAGAATGAAGAAAACCAAAGATTCATGGAAACAATTAGTCCAATCCTCAGCCTATATGACTATAGGACCAGAAGAACTAGATGGTGACAGCTACCAGTTATCCACTCAAAGGGGGATCTATGTAGGAGATCCTGGATAGAGTAGGAGAACAATATGAAACAAAACTCAAAAAAGGACCAGGTTTGCTGATCT